ACCTGGCATCTGCATGCACAGACTATACACAACCGCACACATGCAGGAAGACGGCCACACACACACACAGACAACAGTCACACGCATGCACCCCCCCAGCCCCGCCACCCGGCTCGCTCGTGCTTGCCTGCGCCTCCCCAGGACAGCAGGTAGACCCCCGTCACCGCCGCCTTAGCATTGTAGTACCTCCCACCCCGCCCGTTCTTGGGAGCCAGCTCGCCGCCGCCCAGGCTGGGCAGGCGCTGCGCGGCCAGCCCCGCGGCGCCCACGCGCCCCGGCGACAGGTTGGCGCGTGCCAGCGTCAGGCGCGGCGGCGCGCCTCCGGCGCTCCAGTCCCACCCGCCCACCTCCAGGTTCATGTACCGCTGCGGGCAGGCCAGGCCATAGGCTGGGTGCGCGGCGCAGCCGGGGCTAGAGTAAAAGCCCAGGCTGGTGGCGGCAGAATGCGGCAGCAGCGTGGCGCCGCGGTAGCCCGACAGCGAGCCATCCACATCCAGCAGTGAGGTGGTGCGACCGCCGTCCCCCGTGGTGTCCTGCACGCGGCGGCGAGCGGGGCGGGGACGGGGCGTGGGTGCCGGCGGGGTGGACCCTGGGGCACCTTGCAGGGGCAGCTTCCAGGCAGCTAGCCGGGCCGTGCTGCGGGTCCAGCCGCCTGTGCCTGCTGCCGCCCGCTGCCGACCCAGAAGGCCCGCCTTAGCCAGCAGACCAATGCCTCCTCATAACAACAACCACAACACAGCAAGTGCAAGCTCCAAACGTACCAGGACAGGCACAACAAGGCACGCGCACGGGCTCCCCACCTGGACGACAAAGCGGTAGGAGCAGCGCTGCGCGGCAAACCCCGCCACCGAGGTGCCCGCCGCCATCTGAAACCCGTTGTTGCTGCGCAGGCCCAGCGGGCTGGTGCCCGCGGGCCAGGCGCGGGCGGTGAGGCCGGTGACCACGATGGGGCCGTCATACAGCTTCAGGCCTGGGGCAGGGCAGGGTGGGTGGGTGGGCGCTTGGGCGGGGTGGCAGCATGGCAGGTGCCGCTGGGACCCTGCCCCGCACTTGGCAGCTGCGGCCTCGGCAGCCGTCCTCGGCACGGCCCTGTGGCCAGTCGACAGACGCGCGTATGCCGCCGAAACTGTGCCGCTGCTCCTTGAGGGGGAGGGGCCTGTCCCCCGCTGTGCACAAGGCCACACCAGGCGGCTGCGCGCAGCGGCGCTGCTCTGTCCGGCTTTGATGCGTTCCAAAGCAGCGCTGGCGCTGCCGGGGGTGGCGGGCTCACCTGTGATGATGCCAGACATGTCCTGCACGCGTACCGCCGACCGCCCCGCCGCCGCATCCCAGCGCTGGTACAAGGAGTCGGCGATGCCTGGGTCTCCCGTGTTGGCGCTCTGTG